AATTAATCGCAACATGAAAATTTGATACCGGCATATCCCTAATCGGGATATTGAATAAATCAACACATACATACGGCTGTGTAGCTGTTCCTGATAAAGATTTTCCCTTCAGCCGATGGTCTGGCTTTGTGCTGCCCCCCCTGGGCACGGAGGATGAGGACGTGGCGAGAGAGAGAGACCGTGTGAAGAGCGGTAGAGCTGTGGGAGACATTCTCATCCTCAAAGACCTTAGCAAGGTACAGGCGCACACCAAACACCACATAAACAGCTGTAAAAGATCTACTCAAGGGTAAAATACTGACTCTTTGTGTCTGTAGGTATACAAGGCAGGCAGGAAGCCAGCAGTGAATCGGCTTTGCTTGGGCATTCCTCGGGGAGAGGTAACTAGAGTTGCATTTACCGGAGCTCTCTTGGAAACATTTATTACTGGTACTTTGTTTTTCAGTTGTGATAGTTTAAATTGCTGCAAGTGTTTTCTTTTCCCATTGCAGTGTTTTGGTCTTCTTGGTGTTAACGGGGCTGGGAAAACCTCAACCTTCCGCATGCTAACAGGAGACACTTGCATCACTTACGGAGAAGCATTTCTTAGCAACCACAGGTTAGACCCTCATCATCACATGCGAAAACATGTCATGAACATTATAGCAATAATTACATGGTTATTCTTACCATAGTATAATTATTATCGGTGTTTCCTACTTTTACTTGCCATTTACTGTATCCTGACAACTACCTACAACACCCTAACATTACCAAGCATTCGTTTTATTCAGCGTTCTTACAGAAATGGAGAAAGTTCATCAGCTGATGGGCTACTGTCCTCAGTTTGATGCCATCAGTGACCTGCTGACGGGACGAGAGCATCTAGAGTTCTATGCTCGCCTCAGAGGAGTGCCAGAAGCTCATGTTGCAAAGGTACAGGATGCTGCAAAAATATAATGATTTTTTTAGTATAATTATTATTATTATTAAAATGCAGTCTGAGCATATCATACTAAATATAAAGCTTGTTTCCAAGCTTGTGTCATACTAAATTATAA